ATTTGAAAAGATAGCGTAATAAAGTGTTATATATTACTGTTGAAAAAATTTAATACCACTGTAAATTTCTCTATTTTGCCACCATTTCACTTTGAAAATATATGCAAGGGAAACCGCTAAAATTTCTTCAATACTTTCTTCAATTTTGAAAATACCATGCTGTTTCGTTCTCAGGGCGGTTTCATACAATGAACAGCAATTAATGGCAAATGCATGGTTGATGAAAGTGCGGAAAAAATGCAACTGAGCAAACGGTTAGCAGAATCCTGACGTGACTAAATATATTCAGATTGTTCTGTGCATTTTCCGTGTTGCTTCTCAATTACATGAGATATATAACTGTTTTTGTCTCTGTTCAAATATATCTTTTGGCTTTTACAAGTAAGTTTTTGAGGTTTAATTATATTTTTTATTAACTTCGTTTAATTGTCGTCTCACGCCAAATATAATAATTACAAAAATTGAACCATTGAAAACACCCTTTGCGTATTATTTTTCGGAATATTTCAATATGGTAGTAACTTTTAAATATAATCTGCTGTATAAGTTATATTCAAGTAAGCGCTGTTCGAATCCAAGTAAAATTTAGAAAAAATGAAAATATCCCGGTTCACCATGAGTGCTTTTAGATACCACGGTTATGAATGGTTCTATCAACCATAAAACAACAGGATCTTGTCACACGTTTGATTCAGTCAAAATATCGCACTCGAAGTACATAACTATTGTTTGATCAATATTTAATCTTTGAATTGTTTTCAGAGACCCACTGTATCTCAACACTCGACAACTGCGGAACAAATATTTCACTTTTATCTCACATCAATTGAGTACGATAAGTACGAGTGAGTTTAAAATCTTTTTATAGTTTAACAATAAACTGAATAATAATAACTGAAAGCTGTATGAGACCCATTGTATTTCAACAATCCACAACTGTGGAACAAAAACTCAAACTTTATTTTCCATTGGTGAAGAATGATGTACGACTGAGTTCAAAATCACTTTATATTCAAACAGAATTGAGGCATTGTGTGAAAAAATGTAGTTATTATAAATTTTCAGTGATTATGATTTTCAAATAGAAAAAGGTTGAGATATCTACGGATACACATATAAAACCTTTTGTCCCCAAAGTTGAACTTGAAAAAAAAAACGATAGGCTGGTAACATGATATACAAATACGGCCAAACATATGTATTCATAGAGAGAAACATTGTGATATGTCCGATTATAATCAACATTCGAAAACTGTGGAACAAACATTCAACTTTTATTTCCCATCACTGGAAGTACTGATAAGTACGACTAAGTTCAAAGTCCTTTTATAATCTAGCAATAGTCTTTTAATATGCGAAGATAAATACTTGGCTTGTATTTTCGATGACTGTGGACTTGATTTGTTTATATATATATATATATATAGCGCTCACTCTCGGCTTTCGCCCCTTACAAGCAGGGAGCTGTTACTGTTGTTTGGAAACACCGGAATTTTTCTTGTTCGGACATTGCCTACCCAGTTTGCGAATCTGGTTGGCTCTATTTGTACATTAATTGGATGTATATGCTTATTCAGCTTACTGCATATGCATATGATAGTGGCTATGAACGTGCATTTCTTGAGTGTACCATATTGGAATGGCCGAATAAACAAATAACATTAGGTGGCTTTATTTGTATATGCGTTTACTTTACAGTATATGTAAATTTTGTTGACCCTATGTGTATTCTATTTAGCTGTATACGTATAACATTGACTGTATATGCATAGATGGATTTTTATGCGTAATCTTTCTGTTTCGGACATTGTCGACTCATTTTATCACACCCTGGGTGCAGTGGGGGTCTGACTTAAATCAAAGATTTTTATTCTACCAAATCAACAAAGTTCAATCAAGCGCTTTACCCGCTACGCCATCGATTAGACATGTAAATGTAAAAGAAGAGAATTCTGCATTATAGCTGAAAAGTGGTTGATCGTTTTGATACATTCTTCAAATTTTTTTTTATATGAACTCGGATTTCCAACATTCGTAGAAACGTGATCGACTTTGTTGTATTGAAGAAGAAATGAGGATTTGTGTATCTGAATAACGCTATGAGATTGAAACTTTTGCCTCACCTTACACACTGGTCGTAATAAAGAAAATTTTGTACAGATTCTCCGCGACTAATGCAAAAAGTGAGATTTGAGAAAACACCTCCGCCACGTATTTAAATTACAAATTAGTAATTATCCAACTTGGGTTAGATTTAGGGTTAAAATTGAATAAACAATTTGAATCCAGCGCAATCCGCATTCCTAACCAAACCCAAACTCTAACTGAATAATACCTAATTTTCTTATTTTAAGCGTTGGCGGGAGCTTTATACAAAATATCCATAATAAATATGGTAGGCAATGACCAATCGGAAAAATTCTGGTCTTATTGAATAGCAGTAACTCCATGCATATTGTGTGATAACAGTGGATGCTTTTACGGAGTCGTATTTTATATAATTTCTAGGAATCGGAATTGGTGGTAAACTCTAAGCCGCAGTTTTCACGTTGCCGCCATTCTGAAGATGTCGCTTCATTCAGAATTTTTCCTGCATTGCTGGAACTGATTCTTCAATATCATAGTCATGAGACCAACTTCAATCGTTGCAAGCGTTTGTATCCTCAAATTTCTTGGGCCAATTGTCAGCTAAGAAAAGGAAACTAGAACAATATTACTTCAATTTTGAATTATGATATGAGAATAACAATAATAAGTTTAATAAATTTTGTATTCAAATGTTATAAGTGCGCAAAATAATTTTATTACATTGATTCAATTTAATAGGTAGGAACAAATCGTATTTTTTTTTATCAAATCAGAGTTACTTTCTCGCACCTGAAGTATAACATTGGTACACAGCTATACATAACAATACATATGAATATCTGTTTTAAACCTAAAATTTAATTTCAGTTTTTGCACAAAACATAATACTTAATTTATTACTTACAACATTTCAATTTGCAGAGAAATTAAAAAAAAATATTCGCACAGGCTTGATTCCCGCTGTCCACTCAGGAATATCCCGTATTTTTTTTGCCGCGGATGTTGAAATCGAACCGGCGGGCGGGCGAACGAATCAGATTCACTCATGTTAACTGGGTCCGAGCTCAGTCCAAGACAATACTTGAGACACGTCAACTTTTAGCGTTTTGAGCTGATGGTCATTCTATAGTTGATGTGGAGCAGGTCGATCTCATTCTTGTTTGTAATGTCAAGTTGGTTTATGCTGTTTATATAATAAAATCGCAGTCGAACATTGACATCTCCTGATTTTAGCGTAACAGATGACGTTTATAAGATGAAGAGGAAAAAATCACCGACGATGGCACCTTTTTATCGAACCATCAGTTTTACGTCATAGTATATCCCTATTCTCATCATATATATGTAACTATAATTCTGTTTCTGTATGGGACATAATATTGAATCCTGTTAACCTAAAACACTTCAATTTGAGAAAGTCACAGAAGTGTCTTCGCACGGTCGCATTGAACAGTACACGCAAAAAATTCCGCAATATTTGTTTTTGCCCACGGTATTGAAATCGAAACAAAACTGACAAACAAAATGGCGCACAAACCAAAATATTGGCTTAGCTATGTATATACGACTGATGTCAGTGCCTTTATTAATTATCGAGTTCGAGATGCTACGGTGTCGTTCCTCCGATGCTGACATCACATTGTTCCCCATTTACGGAGTTTTTGTTTACCCGCTGGCTAAGATGAAATGATTTTTATGAATTGTTTAAAACTTTCATTAAAAGAAAAGTTTCCGTGAATATTTCATAGTATTTGAACAGTATTTGGCGCGAGATTTCACGACATTTATTAAAAAAAAATTCTGGTCGCCAAAAAAGAGGGTTGTAAACCCCTTATGTAGCTAAATATTTCCTGCTACAAAACCGCCATTAAGTCCCCATCGAATACCGCGGTATAAGGTATCAACTATAAAACAACGCTAAGTTAACTCTCGTAAAAATAAACATTGAAACCGAGATTACCGAGTAAGAAAACAAAAACGCGAATATAATATCGCATATTATTGCTGTTCCGAAATAATTATTATAGCCCACAAAACAAAAAGGTTTTTGGAAAAATCGTTCGGTAGTTTATCAAGCTCATATTACAGAGAGATACTGAGTAATGGATCTCACATACTCGATTGGTTAAGATGTTCAATTTACGTTTTGAATGATCGACTCCGTTTTGCCCTTCCGTCATTTTATTCAGTAAAGTAGAACCCTTTGAAAATCTTGACAAAAGTGAAGCAGTACTTCTGCATTAGTCCTTTTTTGCAATTTTTTAGAATAGTTAATAGATAAATATACTTCGAAATTGTGTGTTAGAACTCCTTTTTAATGGGGACTGCAAATGGGGATCAATGGTATTCTGCCATGATTTTTGGGAAAGCTATACCGGCGATTTTAAATTGTGTATACAGAGTTGAGAGTTCGTGTGTTACTAAGCCAATTTTCCGCTTTCCCTTCTCATGGTTATATTGTAATGGGTCTTTAGAGGATATGAAATTACTGGAAATTACATAAAATTTACTATTTTAAGCGTGAATCCCGTACTATAAAGTTGTCATTATATAATTACTTACGTAACCTGTTATCTTGCGCATCGGAACCTCTCGCCAAATAGTTCGTATTGACGTCACAATACGATTATAAAAATCGTTTAATGTTTATTCCCCAACAAGCCTTATCACGTAAACTAATCTAAAACATGTAGATTGCCAATGTGCCTGTAATTTAACCTAATTTATAAGACTTTTAAGCGGACATACTGAACTTAAAAATGACTTGTCGCTTTGTTTCGAACATTGTAATGTCAAGTCAAGATAACACTAGCGATGACAAGATTCAACCTTCCAATAAAAAACTGAAAAACTACATCTGGCTACATAAACACAAAACTATCCCTATATATAGCATATATTTCCGTGATAAAATCACACACAAACAAGTTTTTGCACTATTAGAATAAATGTAGTTCAGCTCATTTTGCATCGGTATTTGCATTCATTTATTTGTGAAATACAACAATTAAGCTGTAAATACCAGGTTACTAGATAGTGACATAAAATGAGCTGAAAAGGGCAATTTTTGGAAAGATCATTTTGGAAATACGAGGTTACAAACCTGGTTACAATTTTTTAAGCCTAATTTTTGTCGAATTTTGCTAAGCAGAATAATAAGCAACAGGATGCAAGCTGTCATTGAATTGAGAAACAGGTTTTACCGAAGTTTTAAACTTTGTTATAATTCGATTGGTCGAATCTGAATTATCATAAAATTAATGAATTATATATCACGACATAGTTGGTCGATAAATCAACAGATTTTAAATTACTATTCGATTTATAATTTATAATTAAGGAGAGATAAGAAATATTATATATGAAGTTTTTTTCAACTTACACTACAAATACGAGTGTTTTATTGTGACATATGCAATCATAAATGACACAAAGGTGAGGCGGTTCGATTTTAGACACAATTTCGTGCTTTATATTCCAAGACTTAGAAATATCAAGAATTCAAGAAAATGTAGGTTATATTTTGGAACATTACATAGCGAACAAAATAAATGTAGCCTCAAAATAAGAGCCATGAATTTATATTCTCGAAGAATAAAAAAAATGAAATCTTAGGAGAACATGCTTCTGAGCCTATAGTACATTTTTAAATGCTACCTATTTGCTTCGTCTACCTTCGCTGATATTAGTTATTTAATCTACAATCGAACTCCCTGTTGTAGACGCCGGAATTCTAAACGATTGTGCCATATAATGAATATGAAAGACAACATTTCTGCGAGGACGAGCCTTGGGATGTGAGGCCAAGAAATTGTTGACTGAGTCGATGACTGATGGAACATCTGACGCATCTAGAGAAGCGATCTCAGTGTCAACATCCCCTTTAGCAGTGGCGGGTGCTCCTGCTTCCACACTTCCGACGACTCCAGATCGAGGGGTGGAAACGAATGCTTCTGCATCTAGAAAGAACATAAATAGATTTGTGAAATTGAAACATAATATAAATTGAGCAATATTTGTAATAGGTATAAAATAATAACAGCGGGTAAAACATTTTGCGCTTAAAATTTCTCCTCACAAAATTAAAAGGAAATGCGATATCACTCGAAAAATAAATTACCGTCATAGACGATGGAAGGCCATAGGTCTAGGCCAGGGGTCGGCAAAGTGCGGCATAATACAAAAATTGATTATAAATTTATCGTTGTCTCCATATGGATTTGAAGAGTAACAAATGCAGCTGTTAGGCGCTTTTCTGCAGCGTCAGTTCTGAGTTGCATGTCAATTACTTGATGTTGGTTATAATTTTAAAATGAGTTTATTTTGATTTTTAAAATATAAATATGGGAATTTTTTTCCCTCCGGGAACGGATGAAACTTTGCGTTGACGGCCGGACTAACATTGCGAAGTGCTTGGCTTGGAAAATATTTTTCTTTCTTGCGCATTTCATTACCGGTTTGCTTGATATGCCTGATGATTAAGTCAGCATCGCAGTTGTGTTGAAAGTCATTAAAGAACGTGTCGCTGCAAATACGCAATTCGAGACTCCAACTGCTCTGTGCAACAGTGCAAAACGTATAATGTGCACGTCACATATTGCTGTGAGCTGCTTTATAGGAAATGTATTACACTCACAATAAATTTCGTACTCGCTTGTCAGATTGTCATTTGGACGACGTACTGCGGGGCAACAAAGTTGTCATTTGATTTCAACGCTTTGGCTATGGTACAGAAAAAACATTAAGTAAATAAAAGCAATGTATATTACTGAAATATAATCTTACCAAAGGAGGCCGACACTGAAACATGTAGAATAGATGATAACACGGCACATGCGTAAAGAAATTGCATTGCCATTTTCGTCCAAATTTCAAGATATCTTGTTCAGCAAGACGATCGATTTTACTACGGAGATTGTCCAACAGTAAAGTGAAGACAAGCCAAATAAATTCTGTATTTATCTAAAATCGGAGAACAAAATGAATTGAATTTTTTTCTTTTTGAAATCTTTCTACGTCTAACATGAGACAGAGAGAGCATCACGCGCTTGCCGCATGATTACCTCTTTGAACTCTGAATCCCCAGAACGATGCTACTCTCTCACCCTGACCGCTATAGCGGCTTTCAGGGTTCAAAGAGATTGCGTTGTCATCCAGAGCAAACATTATTTTGAGAATTTATCAAAAAATTCAAAACGAGATATTATCTAGGCCCTAAACTGCCGTCTTTCAAAAGGTATGCAACAAAAACAGGGGGATGAATCATAATTCAGACTAAGGACGTATACCAATGCGTTACAAATATAAGATATGACACAAAAACGTCGAACCAAGGTTTTTCTGTCCTATACATATACTGTGTCACGCCAAACATAATATTTACAAAAACCGAACCATTGAAAACACCATTTGCGTATTATTTTTCGGAATATTTCAATATGGTAGTAGCTTTTAAATATATAATATGCCGTATAAGTTACATTCAATTAAGCGTTGTTGGTATCCGAGTGAAATTTAGAAAAAATGAAAATATCCCGATTTACCCTAAGTGCTTTTAGATGCCACGGTTATGAATGGTTCTATCAACTATAAAAGAACATGATTTTGTCACACGCTTTATACAGTCAACATATCGCGATGTCCAAGTGCAAACAACTATTCGTTCAATATTTAATCTTTGAATTGTTTTCTTAAAGCCGTATGAGACACATTGTATTTCAACATTCGACAATTGTGGAACAAATATTTCATTTTTATCTCCCATCACTTCTGTACGATAAGTACGACTGAGTTTAAAATCCCTTTATAGTCTGACAATAACCTGATTAATAATAACTGAAAGCCGTATGAGACCCATTGTATTTCAACAATCCACAACTGTGGAACAAAAACTCAAACTTCATTTTCCATTGGTGAAGAATGATGTACGACTGAGTTCAAAAGCACTTTATATTCAAACAATTTTGTGGCATTGTGTGAGGAAATATAGTTATTATATATTTTCAGTGATAAGGATTTTAAAATAACAAAAGGTTGAGATACCTACGGATACACATATAAAACCTTTTGTCCCCAGTGTTGAACTCGAAAAAAAAACATTAGGCAGGTAACATGATATACAAATACGGCCAAACATATATGTATATACATAGAGAGAGACAATGTGATATGTCCGATTATAATCAACATTCGACAACTGTGGAATAAACATTTAACTTTTATTTCCCATCACTGGAAACTGATAAGTACGACTGAGTTCAAAGTCTTCACATAGTCTAACAATAGTCTTGTATTATGCGCAGTGGCGCGTCAATAGGGCCAACCGGGGCAATGCCGGTATAATAAAAAATATTCGAAAAATACCTCAATATCGGTTACACAGACTGTCTACACTAGTCATATTCTCCCGATATGGTTCATTTTTCGCTCGCAAAGCCTTCGCCGAACGTCGACGGGGCGACGCCGATTTTGCACCGGTTGCTCATCGTATATCGTATTCTCTCTTTTATCTTCCACTCGCCGCGTTTGTCTCGTTTGTTTTCTTTTTTTTTTACTAAATCATCGGGGCCGATCGGGGCTAGCCCCGAAATTATGACGACACAATGCCGACGTTTCTTACAACAACGTGTTGACATATTCATGCATTCCTTCTCGTTCGTTGGTTGCTTGAAGAGTTGATAGTTTCCTCGCCTTCGTTTTTGTCGCTTGTTCCGCTATTTGAATCAGTTAGAGACCTTTAGTCCATTTGCTTTCGATTTTCCACATTCCTTTTGAGCTCCTCACTTCTTTCCGGCTTCGCATTTCTTAGCCTTAGACCTCATAATGAATGAGGTTGATGCACTACTTCGCACTCCGTTTTCGCAGCTGCCGCTGGAACAAAAATTAGAGGTACAACGTCTTGGGCCTTATCAACCAAAAAATTGTTCAATGGAACAATCCCATGATGGAGGAAAGCGTCGGCGTACATTCTGCGCAGAAACTTGGTATAAAAAACACGAATGGTTGTGTTACAGCGAGGACAAAAATGCACTTTTTTGTTTTTATTGCCTACTTTTTGCTACCGCCCGTGACTCACGTTGGTGTAAATTTGGTTTTAGAGATCTTAAACATCTTTCCGAGCGTGTCAGGGATCATCAATCTTCTATGGAGCATCTGGACAATGCAGTAAAATACCGAACATTCGGAAATGTTAATATTGCAGCACAGTTGGATGAACCAAAACGTCGAGAAAAACCGCCATGTTCTCGGTCGATTGATAGATGTTTTGAAGTTCATTGGTTGTCACGAGCTGTCCCCCCCGTGGGCACGATGAACGGGCTGGCTCTTCTAACAGAAGGGTATTTTTGGATATGGTGGAATACACCGCATCCCTAGATACAGTATTGAGAGATCATCTTGATGCCGCAACTGTTTCGAAAGGGACATCTAAGGATATCCAAAATGATTTGCTCGACTCAATGTATAAAATTTATTTACAACATTTGGCTCTGGAAATGGAGAATTGCCAGTTCCTTTCGATTCAGTCTGACGAGACAACTGACATCACGTGCGTTTCCCAACTGGCTGTGATTTTTCGGTTTGTAAAAGATGGTAAACCTACCGAGAGATTTCACAGCTTTGTACCAATCGTTAATCGCACGGCTTGCGGGATATCGGCTGTACTGAAAGAAGTGTTACAGCCTTACAACGCGAAGTCAAAATTGATAGCTCAAACTTATGACGGTGCGGCAGTCATGAGTGGGTCGAAACATGGTGTTCAATTTTGTATAAAAGAAGATTTTCCTCATGCGCATTTTTTACATTGTTATGCACACCAATTTAACCTCGTTATTAAAAATATGTGTCTTGATACCCCTCGTCCGTATATTTTTTGCAAATGTTTCGTGGTTTTCTTCATTTTTTTCCGTTTCGCCGAAGCGCTCTGACCTCCTTCGCCAGATATGTAGCCGCCGTCTCCCTGCTTGTGCACCAACACGTTGGAACTCCCAATCACGCGTGGTGCAGGGCGTGTCCGAAATTAGGTCTGAGCTCATTGAGTGTTTCAATGGCATTCAGAGCTCTCCGGTTTGGGACGAACGCTCTGTGAGGGAGGCGGCAGGTCTGAAGCGTTTGCTAGAAGATGGTGAGTTTTCATTTTTTCTCGCTTTTTTCCACAATATTCTATCACGTGGATGTATTATACGGCGCATTGCAGTCAAGGCTAATGGATGGAGCGTCTGTGCAGTCGTGTATTTCAGACTTCTGCGATGCTGTATCTCGTATCCGGGAAACAATAAAATACCACGACACATGGAGTGCTTCTTCACGCCGCGGGCAAACAACGCAGCGTTTGATTTTGTCTGCAAAGGAATGCTGTGACATTCTGGTGAATCGATTAGGCGATCGTCTGCGCACTGAACACCTTGCCGCGTTCTCTTTGATGAACCCCAAAAATTTTTCAAAATTTGCACGTCAATTTCCTATCCATTTGTTGGCTACTGTCTCCAAATTTTACCCCATGATCAACGTGGGTGAATTGGAAAATGAATTGCGATGTATATACACCAATCAAACTTTTTTGAACATCACATCAACTTGCGCGCTCTATGGGTTCCTCATAGATAACACTCTAGTAACTACCTTTGCGGCGTCTGCAAAATTTCTGGACATCATTTTGACGACGCCTATTTCTTCCGCCGACGCAGAGCGAACATTCAGCACGCTGAAGCGTATTAAAACGTATCTCAGAAACACAATGAAGCAAGATAGATTAAATTCCTTGGCTGTTTTATCCATTCACAGAGACGTTATTTCTGGGACGCATGACTTTAATCAGCGCGTTATTGAGCATTTTGCTTCCAAGAAACCGCGGCGTGTTGTAATATGTTCAAGCAGTAGAAGTCTAGCAGCATATATATCTATGAGTGAGCAACGCATGTCCTTATCTTTGCATTACCTTTCCTTTCTTCATAGTAACGTTTTAAACCTTATTTTAGGTTTTGTCTGCTTTCCCGAAGTTTCTGTTAATATGTCATTGTATTTATCTGGGTAAATATTGCCTTTCCTTTTGAAAGAGGTTTCAAAATAAACTATGTCTATATTTATTAATCCCTTGACTTGGACCGGTTTTAAAGACACTTTCTTATCGTTAAAAATTGTCGCTTTTGCCGATTGGTTGTTACCGATGGAATGGTTTTTATACTCATAAAATGATGGGAGAACCTACAGCGCTCATCCTGTCCCCGTAGATGGGGGTGACTTGGTCCCGCAGTAGCTTGCCCTGGTTGTCAAAATGACCACGCGCCGCCACTGATTATGCGTAGAAAAATAGTTGGCCTGTATTTTCAATGGCTGTGGGCTTGAGTTGTTTTTATATACATAACGCTCACTCGCTGCTTTCGCCCCATACAAGCAGGGAGCTGTTACTGTTGTTTGGAAACACCGTAATCTTTCCTGTTCGAGTCGAGTTGAGTTTACTCTGTATATGCATATGATCAGGGGCGTAGCCAGAAGTTTCCAAAATGGGGGGGGGGGGGGGATTCGGGGGCGCAAATTGTGCGACTTCCGGAGCGCCGAAATTTGTAATTGCCAAGTTTGACTGTACCAGGTGGTCTGGCCGGAGGCCGTAAAACGCGAGTTTTTAAGAGAACTGATGTTCTAAAAATTGCTATGTGCGACACAGAATGTTTTTAGAAATCGAAACTGAATATGTCAGGATTCGCCAGGAACATGGGCTTCGAATGGAAAATGCGAACTAAATGAATGTTTCTCCGAGCATCGACTTCCTTGTTTACTTCGTGACATTGGCCAATCAGCAAGATACAAAAAGTGACGTAGTTTCGCAACCGCTCAGACACTTGTCTCGCTCAGACAGATTTTCAGGCGTCGTCGTAAACATTACCTCGTTTTTGCGTTTTTGAGATCTATTCGTTAATTTTTAGT